TCTTGTCAGCCAACCCCCGGCTCAAGGGATTCAGTTCTTTCCTTTCCCCGCAGCAGAGGGAGATCCTGCCAATCCACCCCATGAAATGGTCACTCAGATGGATATGCCGATAGTCACTTGGGAGGAGTCTGGACCAACAGTAATACAACCTGGTCCCTGTGGGACGACAGGGTTGGGTTGGTGGCAGCAAAGCCCGAGTCAGAGAAAGAAAATCGATGGGACATTCAGCATGCTCTGATCCAGCCCACCCACTCAGTTCCAGAATTCCAGGGGACCCCTACCTTGCCCCATCCCAGGGAGTAGAAACTTACTTGCTGATATGAGAAAGGGGGGAAGGGACAGGGACACTTGTATGTGGGGTATGGGAGTTAGGGTAGGCCAGACTTGAAATTTACCCCTCCAATAGCTCAGGATCTGCTGTTCCTGTGTCTGGGCAGCCCAGTTCACTCTGCCTCCCCCCCCTACCCCCCCATTCAGCTCCCTGCCTCCTTCAGGCCCAGAGGGTACTGCAGTGAGCCAACCCGACGGGCCCCAATCTCCAGAGTTCACAGTCTGGTTGGAAGACAGACCCTAAAGGAGAACTGAAGACCTAGTTATGTGGCCTCAGGGATCAGAGGGAGAAGTTATGAGATACCTAAAAGGGGAACCAACCCCGGGCAGACTTCCTGGAGGAAGAAGTCATAGGGTAAGACTTGAAAAAGGAGAGGGAAATTGGTCAGGGTGAAAGTAATTGGAAGAGGGTATAGGAGCAATGGGGGATGCTGCTCAAATGCTGAAGAGCCTTGCAGGTATTGAGAGAGAATCTCAGTAGCTGGAACAGGAAGACCATGCGGGGAGCAGGGGACTGTGACGGGAGAAGTGATTGAAGGTATCTGAGGGAAGTGACAGTCTTGTGGGTCATGTTAGAGAGTCTGGACTTTATCTTTGGAGCAGGAAGTTACCTATGGATGTTTCACAAGGGTCAGAATAGAGGGACATTAAAGATTTAGAGTCCTGTGGTCCGGCCTCCTGAATTTGAATCCCGGCCCTGCCATTTACCAGCTGTGTAATCTTGGGCAGGTTAATAATTGTTAATAACAACAATTAGTATTTGTGTGTTTTCAGTGTGGTAGTGTGTCCACCCCAATTTCCCTACCTCACATGCAATTCTGCCTTCCCCAAACACCCCTTATGGAGGAAAGTATATCATTTCATTCCCCCAATAGCCCTGTGACATAGCTGTTGTTATTATTATTGTTACCCTCGTTTAACAGATGGGTATCCGAAGACCAAAGAGGTGAAGGAATGTCTTGCCCATAGCCAGTTAGCCTCAGGTTTCTCATCTATGAAATGGGACTAATAAGACATACCCCATAAGGTTGGTGCTAGAATTCAAAGAAATGATGTTTGTCAATTACGGTGTAGTGCAGTGATGGCGAACCTATGACACGCGTGTCAGAGGTGACACGCGAACTCATTTTTTTGGTTGATTTTTCTTTGTTAAATGGCATTTAAATATATAAAATAAATATCCAAAATATAAGTCTTTGTTTTACTATGGTTGCAAATATCAAAAAATTTCTATAGGTGACACGGCACCAGAGTTAAGTTAGGGTTTTTCAAAACGCTGACACGCCGAGCTCAAAAGGTTCGCCATCAGTGGTGTAGTGTCTGGCCTATAGAAAGCACTAGGTAAAGCACTGATTTTGGCATTGTCAGGTGACTGGAATTTTAAGGAGAGCACTATTGTTACTGAATAAAGAATAGATCAACCGGGCCCGTGTGACTAAGTGGTTAGAGCGCTGGCCTGTGCACCCAAGGGTCACAGGTTTGATTCCCAGTCAAGGGCGTGTACATTGGTTGTAGGTTCACTCCCTGCCCCTGGTTGGGGCACTTGCAGTAGGCAACCAGTTGGTGTGAGAGAGACACATCGCTGTTTCTCTCCCTCCCTCCTGTCTGCTCTCTCTGAAAAGGAATGGATCATTATGGGTAAGAGTGGAGACGGGGAGTTCATTAAGAAGCTGCAGTAGGGTTCTAGGTGAGAGTTGGTGTAGCTTGGACCTGAATTCTACCTGTTGGGGTAGAGGAGAGGGGGCAGGATCCGGAGATGGCAGAAGGAGGTGGCTTGGTGGATGTGGAGGGTAACAGAAACTGAGGCATCCAGGATGACTCCTAGTTTCTGTCTCATGGAACGGGGTCAGTAGACAGTAGAGGGAAGTGGTGAATTCAGTTTGGGAACTACCAAGTCAGCACATCCCTGTAGGCCCACTCTGCACTGCCATTCAGCTTCTGGGAGACAACAGGCAGGCAGTTGGACACACAGGCCTGAGGCTCAGAACAGCAGTTTGGGCAAAGAAGAGATAAGGAAGCTGGCAACATTTAGATGGCACTGAACTGTGGGAGGTGTACACAGCCCAAGGGTGGGAAGAATGAGCCCCAGTTGGGGATGGGGAGAAAGACAGATCCTCTGTGGGAAAATAAGATGTGCAGCCAGAGATCGGTGGTAAACCAGGGGCATGTTGCCTCTTGAAATTCAAGGGAAGGAAGGGCTTATGGACGAGGAGGAGAGCCACAGGGTGAAAAGCTTTGCTGGGATCAAGCAGAATAAGGACTAAACATTGGATACTGGATTCAGCAGCAGGGAAGCACTGGTGACCTCGTCCAGACCAGTCAGGGAGTGGTGGGTACAGAAGGCGGTCCAGGATGAGAAGAGGAGGGGGTGGTGTGGAGAGGGAATGGAAGTACACATCTCTTCCGTAAACTTGGCTCTGAAAGGGGGTGAGGGGTGGGGTTGCTAGAAAAAAAATCATGGGTCCACAGAGGGTCTCATTTCTTTGTGTAGTTATTTATTTAAAGTCAGCTTGATATTGAAATATAATATGCATACAGAACGGGCACATTCAGTGTACAGCTCGATACATTTTCACAAGGGAACACAACTACATAGGATTAGGAATAGAACCCAGATTAGGAAATTGAACATCAGCACCTTCCCTGGAAGCCCTCAAGGTAACTACAATTCCGATTTCTAATAACCATAGATGAGTTTGGGCCATTTCT